ACTGACAGATTTTTAGATTCCAGCTGCTTCTAAGTGTTGAGAGAAAACTTGCTTTGTCAGGTGATGAAACACTAAAGTGTGTGGGTGGATGGAGGACAATGGATATCGACCCTGAAATAGCTAGTATAATCAGGCAGCTCAGGAAGCAAACTGTGATGCCAACTTATCAGAAGGTGAGTGGTTCACTCCCCGGCACCTCTAAATCACATGTCAATGTGTCACTGGGAGAGATGCTAAACCTCAACATGAACCCACTGTATCCACTGGCGTGTGTAGGTAAAAAGCATTTAAATGCTGTACCAATTTTTGCATATGAATGTGGCTTGTAGACTAAAACACCCTTTGAGTGCTCAGTAAGGATAGAAAAGTGCTTGTAAGTACCTGCATGAATTTTTTATTGTATGGTCTCTAACACTGTCTATGCTTCCCTTTCTATAGAATCAAAGCCATTAAAGTAAAGCCATTAAGATATAAAAATGTAAGAAGGTATTCCATGTCATAAAAACAGCTCTAACATGTGTAACACACCAAACAACTTGGAGATTGGTGCAGTGCAATACAATCACAAATCAATAAACAGGGACTTTTTTTGCTTCTATTTAAGCTTAACTGAAAAGATTTGCTGCAAGCATTCCCCAACAGCAAACATGAAAATATGGTCACATTTCAGAAACAACATGCCATTGTATAAAAACCCATTACTACGCCATGGTTATGCTAACAAAAACACAGCTATTAAGCCTCATTAAACAAAGTGTTTAATGCCAACTTAGATTCTCTGCAGTAGCAGTAGTAGACAGGGTCACAGGAGGTGAATATCAAGCCAAGGACAAACCACACAGGATCAACTCTATCAAGTACATGTCTCAGATTAAGAGTGCACTGAGCTTTCCTAAACACTGGGTTTATATCAGAGACGTCCACAGAGCAGCGGATGAAGTCATTCACTCAGCAACACCCAATCACTTCGGTGAAACATGTGTTTTGAATAGGGGTCATGTCTCATGAGCCGAGGCAGGCCTTTTTCCCTACTGAGGAATAGTGGAGGATGTAGGTGATGGTGTAAAGGGAGTTATCCAGCAATCCAGCACGTTTGTGGCCTTCTCTTAATCACTAACAAATGTTACAGTATTTGGATTTTCAATAATTTCTGTCATATACAGTGCTACAGTTTTGTCAGTGTCATATACACCCAAGCCTTTACAAGTAAAAATCCTCACCTCATTATGCTCAGACTGTTTCTCTACTCTTCGATCTCTGTGACATCACTGAGAAAATCGAATATGTTTATCTCGAACACACTCAAATGATAGTCTGATACTGACGAAGACGCACAGACAATTCGGAGACACATCTTAAACATAGTGTGGCCCTCAGGGGAGATGAGGTAAGCTGTTTAAGGATACACTGAAGGGAAGCAATATTATTTTGAATACTGTAAATTGCTTGTAGCTACTTCAGTAGACTCCAGGAAAAGACATATTATCCATGGATTAGCCCCTTTAGCAAATATTAAATCTATGTCTGACATCAAAATTATATGGCTAACTTTATATAATACATTAAATAGAACTGAAGGTAAAAAAAAATGTGCAAACCAGCACTAATCAAAGCATTAGCCCTGAAAAAAAAAAGTTATCTGACAGGCACGAGAGAGGAGTAAGCCAACAAATCTAAGAGTTTTCTCAAAGACTGAACAGCCAGACTTTGAAGGGCATTTGTTAGGTTAACAGAGAACATTTTTAAACGTTAATATCAGACTTCATGTGCATGCAAAGAATTTCACAGCAACACAAGACATGCAATAAAGAAACCTATTATCCCATAGTGTCTCCATGAGAACAGGCTCAGTTGAAATCCAGACCAGATCAGAAAACTGCAAAACCAAAGCAATACACACACCAGATATGTCAAGTCTGGTTCCTCAAGTTCTCTTGTATCTTGAAAGAGCAGAGGCTACATCTGTGGCAAAGTTGTAGCCTGCAGCAGCATCTATAGACTTTACTGTACCCCTTAAAAGTCTGATACTGACGAAAAAAAAAAAGAATTGTCTCATCTACTCCACAGACAGACGCATTGCACCTGCAATGACTATGCTGTACAAGAGAGTAAGCCAAGATGTAGCCCTGCCCATGCGTCTCACTCTCTCCCTCTGCTCGGTACCTCCTCCCATCCCTTTACTCAGCAAAATAACATCCCAGCTGCCCTACGCTTTTCTCGAATCTTCTTCCTTAAAGAAACCAAAACACAAAGTGCAACACACTAACAACACACGGAGCCACACAGTGCTTACACAGACACAATCATTACCTTGAGTTTGGGTTTATCAATTGTCGACATGTTGCAGATCTGTATAGGGTGGCTACAGTACATGCCATCGATCCAGCAGTCATTAAAAAGCCATCAAAGGGGAGGAGTGGCAAAAAGAGGGCGCTTTCAGGAAGTTCATCAGATAATGCTTAAAGTACATCACTATACATTTGAGATTGAATAACTGGGTGTTAGGATGAGCGGAAAGTTCATGCAGCAGAAAGAAAATCAGTAGACTTGCTATGGTGCTTCTGCAGGCAGACCTGATAGGCCTGGAGACAGGGAGCCTAGTTTCTATTTAGGTCATAGTCACAGTGTAGTTCTACTAAAGAATAGCAATTTGTGAGCAATGCAGGCTGCTTGGCTTTTGCTGGTTAGAAATATTCAGTCTTCCATTCACAGAACCACAGGGTCTGGTGCAGCAATGATGTTGCTGATGTTAGGATCTTGGGTCCAGCTTTTTCACCAAGTTACTGTTTCAAATCAGACTGTCCTCATAGAAATTTTATACTGATGACAGTAAAAGAGTTCTTTGCACACTTCTGAATTCAAGATATCCCCACTAATTTGCTTTTTGATCCAATAAACAATCAAACAGAAACTTTAATTTTAAGCACTCTTGCCCAATATCTCAGGTGGATTTGACAGCCTCATTCTGTGCTCATATTTTAAAGATTTTTATTTCTTTAGCTCAACCAAAGATAATTTGTGTCTGATATTAGTTAGATCAGAATAAATTAATGTTAACTAGTCTCACATAAGCTGATATGTTTTGTTTGTACATGAAAGCAGACACAGCTATGCTTTCTTAAATAAATGATTATACTATACAAACTCTGACAGTAAGTGTAAGGAGCTATAGTCAGCTGCCTCTCCAGTGACTTCCACTGTCCCTCCTGTTACTATTAAATGGCTCAGACTATGACATGGGCTTGCAGAATATGCGACACTGACATTTTAAGTTGTGAAAGTGGTCTGGCAAAAGTTAGAACACATACAGATCCCACTGAAACACAGATCCACAAACAGTTTTTCTTTAGAGGTACTGAATACAGGATTATATGGTATTGTTCAAGATAACATTGGTACAAACTTTTATGACATAAAAGTGTCATATCATGATATCGATCATACAGTGGCACCATGTATTTACATTCCTTAGTGCACACATTAATGAGACAAGCCTAGGTGAGTCCAGCTGCTTTTGACAACAAAGCACAATGCTTAGGAAAGTTGGAAGAAAACTGGTGGAAACAGCAAAACTGTTTCACAACAAAAACATCACTGCGTGTAACCGGGCTACAAAAGAACAGATGCTTGCTGTTGTTAATATATAAGTGACTCAACTGAGCTCAAGTGCTCAGTAGCAGCACTCCATATTACAAGAAGAACAAATGATGGATGGAAATTACTGATGAGTTGACACAGTAGAAAAGCAGGGCTGCTTAAGCAGTTGATTAAAAAGCTCCACCCAAGATACAACATCCAAGGCAGATTTTATTTTTAAATTTCTATTATTTATGCAACAATAATGTGCAGGCTGCTGAGGAATTAAAAGGTTGTTTTTTTTTAAACTCAATTAGACTAATTTTACTTAAAGTCTACAGGGGAAATACTACCTAGGCTACTTTTGCTCTTGACTTTGACCTGCTCTGTGTCATTTGCATTATAAAAACTGCTACTGCTGGCACACTGTGGAAAATAATTCACACTTTGCATCCGGTAGTGTGTCATTAATGACAGCAATTCCATAAGGATGAAAAATGCCTTTCTTTTTTTTTTTGCACTAATAACAGCTGCTAATTGCAAGCTTCAATCACCAGTAAAACCCCCAGAGTATTTTTTTATAGATATCATTAGAAATATATTTTTTGCACATTTTCATGCAGTATTGTGATATAATTTTGAACTTGTATATTCCACCCCTATCTAAATAACCTCAATGAACAGGAAAAACATTCCTTTACCATGTGACTGGTGACTTGATAATGACTGGTTCAAGAACATAATGTATTTGAATTATGATTTTGGTCTTGCTTTTATAATTGTGACTTTCTTGGTGAATAACAATACAACTAACTATGAAATGCCACAACTAACTGGGAGTATAGAAAGTCTGTTTTACACTGTTGACTCATTCCTGTTGTGCCTTCATGTATAGTAGGCTGCACACTGTGGAGGCAGCTGGTATGTGAAGAACTTAGCACCACCCTGCCAAAGTCTGATGAGTGGACACTCTGTAGCAGATGTGTGGACGGTAGGTTTTCAACGCTTAAAAGCGTTATAACGCAAAATGTATGTAAATGACAGTGTCATTTTCACAACCTTACTAAACTCCTTAAACACTAGCCTATTTGATTAGCAGTGTCTCCACCAAATTACATATAAATGATTAACTGTGAGTCAGTCCGCACTGAGATACAAGCAGGAGAGACAGATAAGGCCCGATGTTCAAAGGTATTCATCTGAACTGGGCGGCTCCCTTGTAGCATGGCCGACAAGCTAATGCAGCCGCTTCCATAAATATTATAAACCAATGCTTGATTAATTCTCAAAACATTAAGTGTAAAAACTGTGAGTGAAGATCAATTTCACTGGACAAGTAGCAAAAAACCTGTTAAGACTAACGGGCCAGCTAGCAGCTCATGAGTGTATACTCGCTCTTGAGAGCATATTAAATCGCCTACGACTGGCATTATAACAACGACATTACAACTTACATATAAGATTTATTATAGATACCCCCCCATCAATCAATCGACTTGTCCAAGTTTAAATCGATCATTTTGTTTGAATGCAGCGTACATTTACGGGTATCAATGAAGGCTAACGTCATTAGGTAGGCGGCTAAAGCTAACAAGCCAGACCGCCTCAGAGCCAAACAGGTTTACTTCTTCGCTCGTCATTTAGGGTTTTTACATACCAGCTTAGAAAACATCGAACAATGAAAACGCTTGCAGCTGGTTAGCCTTAGCCATTCAGTTATCGAATGCACGGTATTTGGAGAGCAATGAAATTAATTCAACAAATC